GAGCTCTCTTGGAGTCTAGGAAGACCATCGTGAGAAAAGACATCACCTGCGATGAAAAGTTTTGTTGGCACGCAAACACAAGCTCACCTCTCTGGGGGTTTTGAAGCCCAAGCCAACGTTTCTGTGATAACGCGGGAGCTTCTCTTTGCCACTTCCTTCAACAGCCAGAACCCGCTTCTTGTTCTGGAAGATGGTGGGCTGTTTCTGATAAGCCCTCTCGTTCTGAAACAAGACCACAAGCACAGACTCTGTCATAAGGCTTAAAAACTAATATACATGCTGGAATAGCTTTGATAGAAAGCTATAAACCACAAAAGTGTGATTAAGGTTTCCGCTGGATATTCTGGACTACAACACCAAACCCCAACAAGTTTCAGAGCCAAGTGTTTTCTCAAATTAAAAAGCTATCCAAACACATCAGGGATTTTATGCTGCATCAGTGATGCCGTAAGGCAGTGTCGTCAGAGCCTGAGAGACTTGGAAGACCATCGTGAGAAAAACCATCATTTGCAGCTTCATGCCCATTCGGAGCGCGTGTACAAATCCACAGAGAGGGTCTACAAATGTTTTCTGGACTCAAGTGACACAGATAACTTCATTAGCACTGCCATACGGCGATATCTTTGGACTCCTATTCCTCCAGACTTATTAGTAACATTATAGCCATGCCTTGCTGACCAATTCGGTTATTTAACATCTCAATAAGATAGAGTCAGCAGACAAAATAAAGCTATTTTATTTATATCATAACTTTACACCAAATAAACAGCTGCGTGTTTAAGAAACCACTTTCTGCTGGTCGGGTGAAGCAAGGCCACACGCCTTCCCGTTCAACAACGCTTCCTACCCGTCAGCCGGGGATGCAAAACACATTCGATTCTTCAGCGTGATCCATTCGGTCACGATTGCCTCTATGATGCTTTCTTTGCTGTTTATCTCCCAGAATTTGTGGCTTTGCGCTTAAGTTTACCGTCGAATCAAACGCGTTTTCATGACCACGCCGTTTGGACTCACGTACCTGTGTGTCCGCCATCTTCGCCAGCCGAGTCGTAAAGAGGACTACACATGCGCGAGACAGACGGAAGAGAG